TGACAAAGGTCGGTGTAGTGCCGCGGTTTAGGATTTCCAGATCGGTAGTATGTAGATACTCTAAGAGGCTGAGCCCTCTCTGATTCGTGTCGGTGCTTCCCCACACCGTATGGTGTGCGTTGGCATCGCATCCGATGATCAGCGGGAGGCCCAATGTGCTGCAGTATTCCACTAAATCGATGAGCTCCTGTGTTGGAGGATCGTCGGTCGAGTCATAGGGCAGATAGTCCGAGCATACCACCAAGGATGTGCTCTGTCCTGGTCTGTCCTTAAGGCATAGTTTCACCGCTACTAAGTCCCTAGAACAGAAATTAGCTATTAGTGAGGACTCGATCCGTCTGTCGACGTAGATACAAGCCCTTGGATTTAGTTGGTCGTCCCTCTTGTAGAAGAGAGATCTTTCCCATCTACCTAGGCCCCTTACGCGACCCTTGTATGACCAAGGTTCTTGTAGGAGATATATATATATGTGTCTGCCCCATAGCTATGTGACGATCTATTAAGGAAATCGCCCCTTTGCTATGTTGCAAATTGCTCTGTAGAAATGAGGTCTCTTTATCCATGGTAGAGGATGGATATAGGACCTGATTTCTAGGTTACGGATGGTCCAGCCCTTGTCCCTGGTGGTGTATCCTCTACATCCACCTGAGCCATGAGCTCGGCCACCTCCTCGTCCACTGTCGTTGTCGGATCTGATTCGGGCGTAGACGTTCCTTCCGATAAGGGAGTATTGCTACTACCCTCCTCGGCTGGAGCCGTTTTTTTCTCCGGCGCCGCTGGAGCCTTTGCCTTCGTCATGAAAGTGACGACGGAGACCCCTGCGAACGCTTTAAGTTTTTGCCGTTGCAAGACCTCGGCTGAAGCCTCGTCAACTCCAAAAACCAGGAGAACCCTGTTCTTCTCCTCTTTCCGGTGATACGTCCTCCACAGATTTGTCCTAAGTCCAGGATTCTGTCGGTTCAGTCGCTTAAGGATGGTGGGGGTGTCGTCTGGGAGACCTTGGACAGCTGCAACCATCTTAATTGCCCTGGGAATGTACCACTGCACGCGCAGTGATGCCCCTTCCCATGGTCTGATCGAGGAGATGATTCCCTCCAGCCAGTCCAACGTCCACTGGTCTCCGCATTTAACCGTGATGGTTCCCTGCGACGACCAGCGAAACTGCTCAAACTGTGGGAATCGATCTCCTCCCATTAGATCAATGTGGGCGTTTAGTTTCCCCATGATGCCTTTACTCTGCTCTTCCGTGATCACCGCGTCCGGATAAGCATCCGGCACGATGGTCACCCCGAGACCAGCAGACGTTGCGGCGCTGTACGAAGCAGTCCCCTGGCCTCCCGATTTTACTCCGGCAGCCTTGGGCCTCTTTGCCAGCGTCCTTACCCCCTTAGACTCAGGGGTGCTTCCCTCAGATCTGTTACGTTTCGTCCCAGATCCTTGCCCCCCTGCGCCGGAGCAGGCGTTTGGCCTTCGCCAGAGCCCGGTCCCATGGACTGTGCCTTGAGCCTGAGCCTCCTGGCTCTAGCCTTAGCTGCGCCGCTTCTGTTACTCTTGCGAGTCCCGGAAGCGGTATTGCCTGTCCCCTTTGTGGGTCCCTGTGAGGTCCCCTCTTTCGAGGAGCCCGACACGTCAGTCCCCACTTGAGAGCCTGGCATAGCGATCTCTCCTTGCGGAGAGCCTTTAGGTTTTATAGGTGTATCCATATAATTCCCACGAGTAGTCCGGAACTAGGTCCGCCCACACAGCGCCGGATTGTGTGGGTAAGGTTAAATACAATGGGAGGTCGCCTGTTATCCCTTAAGGGGAACGTTAAAGACCGCATGTTGCGCCCTGCGGCCATCCAGCCCTCAGCACGTTGCCTTACACCTTAGCTTTGGCGAGGCTCCTTACTGCAAGGGGGTGCCCACACCCCAAGAGGTCCCGTTGTCCCTTCCCTCCCCTACCCTGCTTAAAATACCCCATAGAGACCCTGTTCAAACCGATAGATATTTGTATCGGGATGTATGGTGTTTCTATAGGGTGTATCGGTTTGTATAGGACCCGTAGTTGAGATTTATGGTTGTTCTATAGGGATATCCACCATTGATTTATTTGCTATCGGTTTCAATGGGAAAAATACACATAAATGTAGAAATTAGTTTTTTCCCTATAGGACCCTATAGGTTTTAATAAAATTTTGTCAAATGTTTTATGGTTGCTCTATAGGGATATCCCTATATATCCTGAGTTATTTTCTATCGGTCTCAATAGGGAAAATGTAAAAGTTATGGTGTGCCTATAGGTAATTTCCTATACATTTTCTATCGGGCTGTATCCGGAAAAACCCATGGACAAATGCACATATAGAATCCGGTAGCGCCCGATAGATTATTTTTTATAGGTCTATATGGGGTATTTTAAGCAGGGTAGCACGGGTCACGTAACACTAGGGGATTTGGGCATTTTTGTTCGGGGTTAAGTCCCCCAGATCCGCAGTCTTTTGCATTGAGCAGCATCACCTCTTGCAGGGTGTGTCTTACGACACGTACTGACGGTCTTGGGTAGGTAGAGGTTAGGGGCTTTCATCGACCTTTGTGGTCTCCGGCTGAGTCACCATTGGTGATTCACTTATCCTACCCCTGGCAATACTACTACGCCTTGATGCCGAGCGAAATTAGTTAGAAAATATAAAAAGGGTTTCAAGCAATTTTTTACTTGTCGCAGGTTTTAATACATAAAATATCAAAATATCAATATCAAAATATGAATGGGGTAGTTAAATTTTTTCTGACCTATACTTTTTATGGTTTTATTCAAGGCGTTTTGTAATATTAAAGTCCATGTCTGACGGTGCAACTTCTCGCGGCGATTTTGTTGCGGCGACTAGGTCGCCGCGATTTTTTGGTGGTCACACGATGCAACTAACCTGTCTCAAAATAGAACATGTTCTATTTTCATGCAATAAAATCGCCGCGACTTAGTAACTTTTTTAGGGATTTACGAATTTTCACTAAATTTTTTGGTTGGTACTCAATATTTATCAGCTGTGGAATGACATATGTGATTTGCGTCATAGATTAGATAGATTTGCGTGTGCTTTAATCTGAGTGTTTTTATTTTTACACCACAAAATACTTATAACTTTAAAAGAAAAACAAAATCGATTTGAATAAACATTAAATTTGTTTAGGTATTTTTATTTTTCAACTAAGTAATTTTCGGTTATGTTGGCAATCCTAGTAGAAAATAACGTCAGTTTGGTTGCACCGTGTGAACACCCTAGAGGCGAGAAAGTCGCTGCAACTAGTCGCCGCAACAAAGTCGCCGCGAGAAATTGCACCGTCAGACATGGACTTAAACATTTCTGTGAAATCAGAATTTCAATTGAGTTTACCGTTTTCGAGATACCTATTTACAAAAAATATAAATTTTTATGACGTCACAAACCTCGCCATGTGACCAACAATCTAAGATTTCTATTGGTTGAAAATTACCCTGTTGTCAAGTTGTCTTGCTAATGATTTCATTCGGTTATGTCAGTAAATACCCGAAGAGGTTATGTACAAATACTGTCACTGTCAGTTGAGTGAAAGATGGTCACCAGATTCATTAAGTACCTATCTTCCTTATTACGAGGTATCATATTACTGTTTGATATTTTAGAGTCCAAGATATATCTAAAAGAATATAAAGAACTAGGCATTATACTAATGAAATGCATTTACGACAAAATATGATTATAATTATAGGTACTTACTTTATTTGTTTAAAAGCTCCAATGTTCAATATAATTCCACAAGATTCCTCTGCTTTGGAGTCCGTTATTAATAAATCACTTATCTAATATCAATTACAAATAACATACCGTAAACTGGGGCTACTTTGAACGGTTTTTACCCTCAACTGCCGATATTTCCTTTACCGTTACTGTTTTTTAATTATTTTTTTTTCTATATTGGGGGGACTTGTGCCCTCTAGAGAATTGGAATTTATTTTTATTTTTCAATAATTAATAACATATTTTTTTAATTTTTTTTTAGGTGTTCAAAGTAACCTTACGAATGGGGCTACTTTGAACACGCATATAAATGCCGTATTTTTTCAATGTAGCCCCATACAAAGGGGCTTCATTGAACAGTATTCCAAAGTTATCAAGTCAATAAGTCATTGGAAATCAGTCAACTGGTCATAATTAATGGACAGCTTCTGAACTTTATTATTTTATGTTATATTACTGATCTGTCCAGTACTACCAACATAACAACAAAATTGTTAAGCCATGTTGCCAACCTATATTCTAAGCACAGCTAAACAAACCTACAGCGGAGTTAGACTTAAGTGATTATTATCTTAGGTATATTGTTACCTTAGAACAAAATTGTTATTTTGTTCAATGTTACCCCGCAGTTCAAAGTAGCCCCAGTTTACGGTAACAATAACATTGATTTTCAATTATCTAAATTTAAAAAAAACATAACCCGAAAAAAAGAAACGTCAAAAAATCAATTCTTCTTCTTTTTCTCAACTAAAATTATGGATCAAGTCACTTGATTCAAGTGGTTTTAAAACTAAAATATTATAACGTGGCGCCATCTATCGTAAGAATCTTAAACTAAACACACTGGCAACCATAGAAAAAGCTGGCAACGTTGTCAATAGCCTAGTGACGTAATTAGGAGATTTTTTTTTGTAAATATCTCGAAAACGGTAAACTCAATTGAAATTCCGATTTCACAGAAATGTTTAAAATTACAAAACACCTTCAATAAAACCATAAAAAGTATAGGTCAGAAAAAATTTAACTACCCCATTATGCGATAATGTCCAAATATCCGTAGATTTTCAGACAAAATTCGGTTATCCGTTAACGACCCTTAAAATCCGTAGATCTACGGAAAAATCCGTAGGGTTGGCAACGCTCACAGAACATAATGAAACTTAATTTTAAACATTGAGCTGGCCAAATAGCCTTTAAGTAGGCTAAAGGCCATTACCCCTGAACACAGAAGAAGAAGAACCTTGAAATATGAACGATTCAAATTTTTTATTTTAATTTAAAAATGAATATAAACAGATGTTTTAGAAAATATACCAAGCTATTTAACCAAGGCAAGATTAATACTGCGTTAAATAGATTAGATTATTCGACTGAAAAACATGGTATAATACTGGGAATTGAGACTTCTTGTGATGATACTGGATGTGCAATTGTTGATACGAATGGAAATATATTAGGGGAAGCTTTAAATTCTCAGCATTTAATACATTTAAAGTAAATTAAGTTCTACATTTTCATTAACTTTTTTTTAAGTGGAGTTTTTTAGCAATGGAGGTATTATTCCACCAATTGCTCAAGATTTACACAGACAAAACATAGAAAATGTTGTTAATGAGGCATATAGACAATCTGGAGTAAGTTTTAAAGACATAGATGCTATTGCCACTACCATAAAACCAGGTACATTAATAATTAATGCTTTTATATGAATATTTATTTTATTGTGTAGGTTTACCAATGTCACTACATATTGGTACAAAATATGGTAAACATTTATGCAGACTACATAACAAACCATTTATGCCTATCCACCACATGGAAGCACATGCTTTAACCGCAAGAATGCATGACAAATCAATAGAATTTCCATTTATGGTTTTGCTAATAAGTGGAGGACACTGCCTGGTAGCAGTTGCAAAAGATGTAGATGAATTTTTACTTCTAGGTGAAAGTATTGATGATGCACCAGGTGAAGCCTATGACAAAGTAAATATTTTATATAATTGGTGTACATTTACATTCATTTGACATATTTTAGATGGCTCGACGAATGAAGCTTAAAAATCTTCCTGAATATTCAACAATGTCAGGTGGGCAGGCAATTGAAACAGCAGCCAGGAAATCTGATAATCCATTGGGATTTAAGTTTACCACACCAATGTTGTTTTATAAGGATTGTAATTTTAGTATGGCTGGTATTAAGAATCAAGTTTTCAGGCATTTGGTTAGAGAAGAGAAAGAAAACAGTACATTTTCTTAATATTAATTCTTTGTACAATTTTATATTGTAACACTTTTTAGATGTTACTGCTGATGGTGTTATTCCCAAGGTGAATAATTTATGTGCAGCTTTTCAGTTGTGTGTTACAAGACATTTATGTCATAGACTTCAAAGAGGAATGGAATATGCAGAGGAGAAAGGGTATATTCCACAGGAAAATAAGACTTTGGTAAGCCCACAAAGTAGAGATAAATAAAAGGGTGGCGGGAGCCAATTTCTATTCCATATCATGTTAGGTACCAAAATGTATCAAATCATTAAAAAAAATAATCTATTATAGGTAAATGTTTGTGCATAAAGTAAATTGGAATAATTAATAATGACCCAACCCTAGTTACGTGCCACAAAAAGAATAGACAATATTAACGTTACACGTTAACGCTACTGTTAACAAATTTGCTTTAAAAATTTTTTGGACAGTGACTATAATTTAATTTAAAACACCAACTACAGACCTAAATGTTATTTCTCCAATATCAAGTTTAAAAAAAACGCCCTATGTCCAGATATTTCTCTTATTTTCTTTGATACTATTACTATTCGTGTATTCGCGCGGCAAGTACTCATCGAGTGACATCATGCGCGGCACGAACCAAAACTCGTCCAGATTTAGGTTCCAGAGAATATCCAGATATATTATATAATATAAAGTTTTTAGTTTGGCAATTTGGGTTAGGATTGCTTTGATATTTTCTTTGTTTTGTTTTTTTTTTGTTTATTTTTTTTATTTATAATGGTTTAGTAGGGCCCTACTAGCCGGCTATCCAATTTAATTTGGCTAATATGAAAACCAAAATTTCTAGTAACACAAAATAGCCAAGCTTTAGATAATTTACCAACTAACCAACCAATATTCTGGCTTATTTATTATTAACTGATTTTTTTATTGGCTTGGAGGGGTTTGTAAAGGGTGTCCCATTAAGACCGCCTATTTTAAATTTAGTGTCATTTTTTTTGTGTCAATCGTACAGCGTTGTTGTTGGACAGTGGTCATGTGTGAACATTGAGGTTAAGTCATGGAGATTTACACGGACGCACAACGCATAGAAATTGTAAAAATTCACTATCGAAATGGTGAGAATTTTTCGGAAACGGTTTGAGGATATCGTGGATTTTTTGGTCACCATAACGCACCTTCTCGCCGTACTGTGGTCCGATTATAATCTTGCAATTTGAAATAATTGGGTCAATTCAAACCAAAAAGAGACATATCCATGTTCGTGCAGCTCGGTCTGCTGAAAATATTGCAGCAGTTAGTGAAAGTGTTGAACATAATTCTTCCACCTCGATTCGCCACCGTTCCCAGCAATTGAGACTATCTCGAAGCAGTTTACAGCGAATTTTGACCAAAGACCTGCATTTTCATGCGTACAAGATTCGGTTGAAACAATATTTAAAGACAGCAGACCATGCACAGCAACTAAACCATGGAATTATTGAGGACAAAATTTGAAGGCAGAGTTATCTCGCGCCGCGAGGATGTGATGTGGCCAGGCCGATCATGCGATTTGACGCCGTTAGATTTCTTTTTTTAGGTTTTTTTAAAGGAAAAGGTTTATGACTTAGAGTAACAAAACTCTAAAAAAAAACTCTAAGGTTTATGATAATAACCCAAGAACAGTTTCTAAACTAAAACATGAGATTCGACGGGTCATTGATAAAATTGAGCCGGCACTATGCCAAAATTTAATCGAAAATTTTGTCAAAAGAATCAACGTGTGCCGTCAGTCACGAGGCGGCCATTTATCGGATATTGTGTTCCATATTTAACCTCCATGTCTTCCCTCTTTATTGCAATAAAAATATCTTAACTTTTTAAATAAACACGGCATTTTTTTTAAATTTTAAAATAGGCGGTCTTAATGGGACACCCTTTATTTATATATAAATACAAATATATATATTTTACTTTTAAAAAACACTGTTCATTGTAATTATAGTCCTAGGATTATAGTTTAAATAAATTACAAACATTTTTCTAATGTCTCTTGTAAACTTACCATTATAATAAGGCAGATGGCCAATAAATGGGCATGATTAAAATGCAAGTAAAGGATTTTAATTATTTATCTAAACCATCTCAAGGCGTTTTGAAACTCTGCTTCTGGCTAAAAATAACTGCATACAGCAACGAAAATGTGAAAATTTTATATTTATAAATATAATGCAACTTTTTCACATTTATAGAAAAAAATCGTTTACTCACTGTTTTTTAAACATATCTTATTTAAAGATTAAACTGTTTAAGGTTGTTTCTGGGGGTGCAGCTTGTAACAATTTCATAGCAGAAGGCGTCCAAATGGTTTGTGATACTCTTGGCTACAAATTTGTAAGGCCTCCACCAAAATTATGCACTGATAATGGAGTAATGATTGCTTGGAATGGTATAGAAAGGTAATAACGTAACAAAAATTTAATATATTTTGATAAAATGATAATTGTAGATGGAAAAGAAATATAGGAATCTACAAAGACTTTGAACACATAGAAATAGAAAAATCATCACCGCTGGGTAAAAGACTTATAGAAGATGTGGCCAATGAAAATCTGAGCTGCAATTGGGTAAAATTAAGTAGATTAAATAAACCGCAGAGTACCTGGTATCCCCTTAAGAGAGCTGTTGAAAATTAGTTAAGAAATAGATTTTATTTGTTAAAAACATTTTATTAAAGTATTTTATACAAGAACAGGCCCTTTAACCTGCATATTTTTTTTTAAATCATCATACATGTTTTTACTGTCGTTTTCTGACTCCTCTAATTCAGCAAAAACATCCAAAAGGTGTCTTAATTTTTCTTTAACCATAGCCACATCTGAACTGCTTTCTTTGGCAGATATACACATAATATCACAGAATTTAATTGGATTTTCGGGCCTCATTTCTTCATTTGAGTAATCCTTAACAAAATCTATCAAAGAACAATTATGTTTTTAATGTATAAATAGTGTAGGTATACCTATATATATATGTATATTGTAATGTTACCTGAAAAATTTCTGATTTTGTCTTTTACTTCAATGAATTTTTCCTTGGCGCCTTCAGAATCCATTTTATTAATTAAAATCATTGATGGTTTACTCAGCAAAGTTTCATCGTACATTTCCAATTCCTAAAAATATAAAATGTTAGCCAAAACACTGAAACATTAAAAAATTATTAGCATACTTTATTTAATAACATTATAGTTTCCATACAATCCCTATGAGGATATTGAGGACTTAATTGAAATCCATTTATATCAACAATCATAAGCAATAACTTTGTTCTTTCAACATGTTTTAGGAATTTATGCCCCATTCCTTTATTGGCATAAGCTCCCTCAATAAGACCAGGTAAATCTGCCATAGAAATCTGTCTAAAATCTTTGTATTCAATGATACCCAAATTTGGCCTTAGTGTAGTGACTAAAAATAAACTTTTTAATAATTTTAAAGGTATTAAAATTTAAAATTATACATGGGTAGCTTGCTATGCGTGGTTTGGCGTGTGAGATTGCTTTAAGTAATGTACTTTTGCCTGCATTTGGAAAACCAACCAATCCAATATCAGCTATTAATTTTAGATCCAACCGTACATTATGACTAATTCCTGGTAAACCTTTATATCCATTCTTTTTATGCCCTCCTAAACCTCCTCTGGCCACAAGTAATTCTTCCCCACCATTGTTTAGCTCACCTTTTAAATTATAAACAATAAAAACTATCTTTTGTCCTTAATTATTATATATTGCAGATACAGGGGTTTACCTTAGCACAGCAGAATATACATACCAATTTTTTTCCCATTTTCATCATAAAGTGTGACCCCCACAGGCACTTCAAAGTTATTATTTTCACCAGCAACCCCCAATATAAAATTATGGGAGCTATGTCTACCACTTTCTGCTACATATCTTTTGGATTTATTCTTTTTATAAACATCGTCTAATGTAACTTCCTCTTTTGCTATTACATTAACATCGCCGCCTTTACCTCCAACGCCACCAAATCTATTTATAAAACATTAATTAATGCAAAAGACAACATTTTAATTGTTTACTTACTTAGGCAAACCATTTCCACCACTGCCACCTGATACAAACACCTTTAGTGAGTCTCTAAAACCGTGACGTAAGTATTTTCTTGATAATTTTCGTAACTTTGCGAATAATGAGGGTGAAACTACAACCATTTTAATAAATTTACATACCGCGTTAAAAATTTTCAAAACAATTCAATTATTCGTAGGTTATGTCCTTTATAAGTAAGGTTAAGCTGTCTGACGTCTGTCAAGTTTTCTTATTCAGCGTTGCCGTGTGGTAGAAATTTCTAGGTTTTTCTCGTTTTTTTAAGATTTAAATTGGTTAGTATATTGAAAAACTGAAAATTATACGATGAAAATATATTATTTTGAATTAAATAGGAAAGTAATCATTAATAAATGAGATTTAGTTTCAATAGGAACTCAGACTTGGCAATGTGGTGTTTGTGGCCATTTTTGGGTTTTAACTTTTTCTTCGCAAATTTAATCTGTAATCCGAGTCATTGACCCAAATTAACAAAAGATACAATATGAAAGTGTAAATTAGTTATATAATATTCTGGAAACAGTTTAAAGTAAGTAACTCAACTACATATTATTTTATAATTACTGTTTCATGGCCTGCAGTTTTGCATATTTGCTGTGATTTATTTATCTATGCATAAGTAAACAATGACATATTTTGCAGAAGCCTCCAAAAGGATGGTTTTTCAAAATTTTTCAACTGATGATTGGATTTACAGAGGAGAAGGCAATTGTCATGTGGTCCTCGCTTTACCATCAACAAAACAAATTTTAAGGATAAGAAAAACAAAATTAACTCTTGGATTATACATTGTAAGGCTTCTGACATGGTTAAGTGATTTAATTTACTGGTACTTTGGAACAGGATTTAGAGAAGAAAAAGTTGACGTAAAATTTTATTTAAAAGTTATGAGGCCCTTGTTTGGACAAACTTATGTGTCAGATGCAAAACAGGTTATTTTGTCAACAAGTCAAATAAATTATTTGGAAAAAAACTTGGATAAACACAGGCCTGAGCATAGAAAACATAAAATTTTAGATTATGGAAGAGCTACATTATTCGATGATTTTACTTGTATTAATAATGATTATTTGCCCTTTAATATTTCCAAGGACACATTTTCTTTTGAGTTTAAGCCCAAACAAGACTGGGAGCCACTATTAAATTTAAACAAACACCCAAGGCACACATTTTGTATGAACCAATATTATAAGCTGGAAAAGAAACTTATTTCCAATCGCAGTAACTATTGTCCACATGATTTATTTTCTGGAACCGAAGAAAACGTTTCAAAGGCTATTAAGAGTCTAATAGAAACCCCACAAAATAATTTCAGGGTTTTTAAGAATGGAGAAGAGATATACGGAGACAGTAAAAAGACAGACTTTTTGTTAATTTTAAGTGATTTATTTGGTGAATCTTTAAACAAAAAAGATTTAAGTGTATTCTATGATCTCATGCATGAATGTCTGACCAAAAATATAGTGAGTCGCAAAGAACAAAACGAATGTAACAAAAAATGGCTGTGTGAATGGAACAGACAGATAAACATGTCTACCAACTACAAATTAGAAAAAGATTCAGTATTAGAGAAAATACTTTCAGTGCAAATGCTTAACACTGAGGGTGCTAGTTACTATAATAAATTAATGAAAAATAAACAAATCAAAGACTTGAAATATGTTAATAAAGTTTTAAAGGAAGTAAATAAACACCCAGGAACCTGTATGAAGTGCATAATGATGATATTGGGAAATAAAGACAAAGATTTGTTGATAGTTCAATATTTAATGGCAGCCGTTGCCAATGATTGTTCATTTATGGTTACCCTTAAAAGAATTAAGGATAAGGTGGAAGATATGGAAATTGGTAATATAGTTCATTCAAAATATGGAAGTTTTCTTGTGAGAATAGGAATATTTGATCTTTATCCTAAACCAGTTTTCACAATAACTAAACATGAAAAAAGAAATAAAGACATTCTGGATGCCTTTACGAGAAACAATTCTTTGTAATTTTATTATTTTAATTAAAACCAAAGTAATAAATACTGGCCCATACTTGAATGGTTCTCAAAGTGAACTATACATCACCAAATTTGTGAACTAAAATTATTTTACTGTAAATTTTATATTTTATACATTTTAAGGATTTTATATTGCTAATTAATTATTTTAATAAAGTGATTAGTCAAATACTAAATTATAACAAATTTTACTTTTAAAAAGTTTATAATTCTGTGTATGTAGTAGGTACTTTTTACAAATAAATATTTTTATACACTTATTTGTTGTTTTCTATTGGATAAAGGAAAAGGGTTTAATTAAAAACAAAGTTTCATTTTAACTTTTAATTGTTGCATTCTACAATATTGGAATAAATAAATATTTTATATACAATTTTACCAGACCCAAGATAACTTACATAACATATGATCACTTATCTTTTATTGGCTTGCCATAAGGCCTTTATTTAGTTTTTAGTCTAATCTTTGTCAATCTTATCAGAATTTTTTAAAATACTAGTCTGTAAAAAACAACTAAAATTGAATATTTTCATTAACTAAATTTTATGGCAATAAAATACTTAATCACTAAAATGAATGTGTTATTAAATAAATATAATATTATTTTGGTAAAATAAAATGTTTACTTCATGAATATGTTAAAAATGTAAAATTTAGTTAATGTAAAAATTCGCCTTTCACTTATTAATTTTTAACTGACGTTTAGGTATAGCTTTTAAATTTTACCCAAATCTAATACGAATTACATTTCTAAAAAGGCAATTTGGTTTACTTAAAAGCTAAATTGTTAATGAAAATATTTGGAATAAAGAACAGGAATAGCAAATCTAAAAAATATCAAGAATACACTTTCAAAAAAGATACACAACATAGACAATTATAAAATAAAATAATTTCAATAGATGCAGTTAATATATTTTTTGAATCATAATTCATAATAAATTATGCAATAACTGTCCACTTGTGTACCTGCCTTTCAAAACTATTTAAGTACAATAACTTGAAATCTAATGATCATATTAAAAACTGAAGTTGGATAATTGTAGCTACCCAACTCTAAAAAAGCTATTAAAAATACGGCAAGAAAACATTAAAATCAATTATACAGAATATATTTTCCTGCATTAAAAACTTTTTTTAAAACACCAATGCATCATAAAAACAACATAATAATATAACATTTTCAAAAATAATAAATGAAAGTGTAGCTGATTTGCGTAATTGTAAATAAAAACCGTGTTGGAATCGATTTATTAAAACTATCTACATTATATGTACAATGATCAGTAGATTCCAGGAGAAAAAATGGGATGCTTACAGAAGACGCAGTCAGTCTTATTCAGTCCGTGATTGATATTTGTGCAAAACCTATCAAAGCCTTATCGTCAGGCGTCTCCTGATTACTTACTCCAGAGTTCTACAAAAACATAAAATTTATCAATTATTGTCAAATCAAATTCTTTATTTTGCATCCCCAAAAAAGATACATGTTTATAGGGGAAAATCCCCTTAGAGTTGTACAAATAATAAAATACAAATAGTAATAACACAGTACATTTTTATCGTTTAAAAAGGATATTTTCAAAGCTTAGCAAGTTTTTTTATTATACATATACATACATTAGGATCAGAGCTGCAACAAGTCAGTTTTAAAAAGACTTAAATCTTAAGTCTTAAGTCAATTCTAAAATCAAAATGATTTAAATCTTAAGTCAATTCTAAGATAAAGTTTAAATGATTTAAGTATTAAGTCTTTGAATTAAATCATTTTCTTTCAAGTCAAGTCATTTTCGCAAATTCTTAAATCAATATAAAGTGATTTCAGTCATCTTATGACTTAATTCCTTTAGTAAGTCGTTTCTATGACTTAAGTCTATATTTTTTATTTTAATCGTGATCCAAGAGTTAAGTCAATAAAATGACTTGAATAAAAAATTGTGATTTAAATAAAAATAATTACCCTTAAGTCAATACAACGATTTTTTAAATGTTAATAATAATTTTATGGTATTAATGATACTGATATTATTAATCTATTGTAGATACAGATGATAATAAACAATCAAAATAAAAACTAAAACCACCTTTTTTAGTAGAGTACATACAGGGATGCTACTTTTTTATATACATAAATGGGTAACTTCTAAACGGTAATAGATTCAAACTCTGTTAAAATAGATAAAAGTTACAAATTAGACCTAACTACGCACGCATAACACGACGAATGTTGGCAAACAAAATAACAAAATTATAAATCCGCATTTTTTTTCATTTATTTTAGACAGGACATTTTTTAATGTAGCCGTCAAACGGTTCCGAAAAGCTAACTTTACCGCGGCGGTTTTTTTATTCACTAGCGGTAGCAATTGTAGGTAGGAAATTAAAGAAGTTTTTGATCTGCTGCCGCGTGAACCCCTGGCAGTTCAAAAGAAAATGCCCCTGTTAAAAATTTATAACAAAATATATGAAAAATCTGACTTAAATATTTTCTAAAAAGACTTAAATCTTTTTCAAGACTTCAATCTTTTTCAAAAAGACTTAAATCTTTTTAAATTACTTAAATAAGTTACCGACTTTTATAAAGACTTAAATCTTTTTTTGACTTAAATCTTTTCTATATGACTTAAATCGTATGTACTGATTTAAGCCTTTTATTAAGGACTTAAGTTTTTTCTATTTTGAAAAAATATTTAAGTCACAAATCATTTTAAAAATTACTTAAATTTTAAGTCTTAAGTCAGTTTTAGAGAAATGACTTATTACCAAATGACTTAAGTCATTAAAACGATTTAAATCAAAAAAACGATTTAAGTTTTCTGAGAGCTTGCAGCTTTGATTAGGATGATTCGTTTTGAAGAAACATTTATTTTTTGTCACTCCCCAAGAAAAATATTTACGTGCATATCGAAAAAAATGCCCTTAAACTTACTCCTAATTACTTTTATTTTGATTTCAATTAACATGAAATTAATGATATTTTTTCTATTTCATTGGTGCGATTTGTACATGATTGGATGCTCTTCAAAAGTACTAAAATATTTACCTATTTACACAAGCATTGGTGACAAAAATAGTAAAATGGAAAAAAATTCCACAGGGGTGCTAGCAAGATACATACAACATAAGATAGGATGGTGCGCATGGTGGGCGGAGCTAAAATACGTCACATGACGTCACTTGATGAGTAGTTTTAAATCTCTAACGTTCGTTTTAATTATCTGCCGCTAAAATTCTGGTTTTTGCGAAGCTGTTAGATGTTAAATTGCTCTGTTTTTTTGTTTAACTTGTTGATTTTGCGTTCTGTAAGGTTAGAATTACTTTTCAGTGTTTAAATTATTGTTATTGCTTTGTGTTAACCTGTTCTGTTTGTGCTAAAATTATTGTTTTTGTGTTTCGTTGTTTTGTTTTTGTATTAGTTTGTGTTGTGCCATTTGCATTTATTAAAATGCGGTCTGGCATATTTGGATGCATTTCGGACAACCAGTCCAAGAAAAACCCTACAAATAAAGACATTAAATTCCATCGATTTCCGAAAAACATAAGTTTGTGCAAAAGTGGTTACATGCACAAAGGGTAAGGCACAAATATGAAAAATACCAAATTTCTACAAACTTTTAAGATTAACATAAATATAAAAAACTTCAGGTGAGTTTAGAACCCTCTGTGCCTTTTTAAAAACATTAGTTTGAATTTATAAAGTCAAACTAATTTTTAAAAAAAATATTAACAAAAGGTTTAGAATAAATCAATACAAAAATAAAAAATCCCAGGAATTTATGAAATTTTTCCGGTTATTTTCGTAGGTAATTCAAATTTTAATAAATATTTTTGGTTAAAATTATATGTATTTTCTTTTAGTAATAAAAAAAATTCATTTTAATAGATTTAAATATGTTTCCAAAACATAGCAATGTAATAATATAGATGCTATGATAGCATCTATATTATTACACTATGGTAATATGGTAATAAACATTTTTAATTAATTTTTCTTTTTCTTTTAATAATTAATACCTATAAAAAGTAATAAAAAATAGATTTACTTAAAACTATTGTTTTCTTTTAATTAATTGTTTTTTTAAATAGATTTAAATAGTATCAAATATTTTTCCAACGCATCTAGCATCCATATTAATAAAATACTTTTAATACCAAATTTACAACAAAAAATAGATTTAAATAGTATCAAATATTTTTCCAAATCATCTATCATCCATATTATAACATTTTTTTCAATATCAAGTTTAAAAATAACGCACTATGTCCAGATATTTGTCTATTTTCTTTGATAATATAGGCATTATACGTGTATTTGCGCTGCAACTACTCATCAGGTGACGTCATGCGCGGCGCGAACCAAAACTCGTCCGCGGGAGCATCCAGCCCTGGGTGCTAGGGCCACTACTTTTCCTAGTTTACATCAATGACATAACTAAATGTGATCACTGATCAGTGTTGCCACCTATAAATTTTTTTGCGTAATAATGTAATAGATTTGGGATTTAAGGTAATAGACTATTTTGAAGCAAATATTTTTGATTCTTTGACGTTTTACCGTTGTCATTAGAATTAAATTGAATTTTTACATGATGCTGTATAATCTGTGCATGATGCTTATGCTATTTTAATTATTAATTAAATTTAATTTAATAAAAACTTTATAAACACAAATTTAAGCACACAACAAACGTCAAACACTCAAGCAGTGTTGCCAGACGTACGATAATTTTCCATAGAAAGTATAATCCGTTTTGTACGTACGTACAATGTACGAAATCACATGTAAAATAAAATTAAAATGTACAATAATTTCATGTAAATCAAATTGCACAAGGGAATAAAACTACCCAATATTAACAAAATCTTAAATTTTGGATAAACAATAAGTTTATTTTAATTAACTCTTTATTATTTTTTTAAACAATAAATTTAAAATAGATATAATATATGTTATATATTGTTATATAACAAGATTTAAAACACTTATATTGGAAAAACCAAGAAAAATTTAATTCTACAATAGTTTTGATGCGCTGCGACAATAATCTTTTGTGGGCTGTCTGACAAGTTGCCAGTGGCAACAATAGCTTTTTGGGGGCACGCAACTTAAAGAGTTTGCAAGTGATACAAAATAGACCTCTCAAGCTCAAACCATTCCTAATGAGCTCTACATATCTTTACAATGAACTAAATGTGTAAAACATTGTTGAGCTAATAATGCTGGATAGTGTCAAAGTGGTGTATAAACTTGGAAATAACCTAATAGAAACAACAGTTACTGTAAACCTAACTAAAAACTGTGATAAACATAAACATAACACGAGGACCAACCAGCATTATCACATTGCTTCAAATATTACTAAGTTTGGAGAAAGGAAAATAACACAATCTGCTCTAAAATGGTACAATGAACTTCCTGAGAACAAAAAAAAAACATTTTCGACATCGGTCAAAAACTATTATTTATCTTTAAGAAAACTGTGATAACTGCCTGTACCTACTTCCACATATTTATATTTTAGTGTTTTTATGTAATATTATCTAATATTAGCTAGCGAACTGATCAGCTTAGCTAATTTAACCGGTTAACTAAATTAACTTAGCTAATTATCTGGCGGCCGGTTAATCTGGCTTAGTCCAGCTAATTAGCCGTTAGCTAATACTAATATCATGAACACCCAATGTAATTTTTAAATGGTTGTGTGAAAATAATATGTGTGTAAATGTTGGTAAAACTAAATATATGTTAATTGGTCCTAGTCATAAAACTAAAAATTTTAATTTTAATTTATGTATTAATAGTAATAAACTAGAAAGAGTAAACATTAAAAAATATTTGGGTATAATGATAGATTTTAAAGATCATGTTGATTATTTGTCAAATAAAATTTCAAAAAAGATCTATTTTATGGGTAGAATTAGTGGAAGCTTATCACTTTTTATAAAATTCTTATTATATAAAGCTATTATAGCCCCGCACTTTGAATTTTGTTCCACAATATTATTCAACATAAACAAAAATGAAATGCAAAAATTGCAAAAATTACAGAATAAAGTACTATGCATTGTGTTAAAATGTTCTAAATATACCCCCATTAAACTAATGTTAGAAACTTTAAATATATTAAGTGTAAACCAATATATAAATTATAAAACTAATATTTATTTATAAAATTAAAATTGGATTATTACCATCTTACTTATACGATAAATTGCATTTAGTCCAAAACATCCACAATTACGGTACTAGACAAAATAATGATTTTTATGTTGAAAATTTTAACAAAGTGCGTACTACAAAAAGTGTTTTTGTTAATGGGCTAAAATTATTTAACAATTTACCAAATGAAATTAAAAACTGTGATACTTTAATTAGTTTTAAGAAATATATTCTACCTTATGTAAAAGAAAAAATTG